GAGCCGAAGCTCCGCCTGAGCTGGAGACAAGCTGCGCGGATCCAGTCGATCAACACCTCAGTGACATCACCCTTGCTGCGCAAGGGGAAGAGTGTGGTGTAACGCGAGTAGTCGTCAACCACCAGCAGGAAGTAGCGCTCGTGACCTTGTCCACGGACGTGGGCCGAGCCCCACACGTCCATGTGAAGCGGGGCCTCTGTTGGAGGAAACTGGGAGGAGTGAGGGGCAGCCCGCTGGCGCCCCTCGACACAGGGGACGCAGGTAGGGCCAGGCCCGGGAGGAAGGGGAGGGAGGGACCGGGGAAGACGAGAGACAAGGACACGGGAGGCCATGCTTCGGAGACGAAGCAAGGAGGGGTGACCAAGACGGTGGTGCCAGAGGAGAGTCTCGTGAGACAGGGGGCGACACGAGCAAGGGGCAAACTAAGGACTAGACCTGGATGCTGCAGCAAACACCTGACCCGACGCAGCTACCTGACCAGACGCAGTGACTGGAGGAGACGCAGTGGTAAGTGTGTACAAGCTCAACCCCGGACGACGAGTAAACGTGGCCAGGTGTCGGCCTGTCCAAGCGTCCGTGCAGTGGGTCACCCGCTGACTCGCAGGAGTGAACTGGTGAACCCCCGCATCCAGCAGGTCAGCACCACTCACCAAGTTCGTAGAGAACGAGGGGAGGTAAAGACCAGACACGGTGCCAGAGGAGGACAGTGGAGAAGTGAGCAAGGACATAGTCGCACCCAGAGCAGCAGCCTCACCAGCAGCTAGAGCAGCAGGCTCTATACCCGGGTCAGGCGGTACGCACAGGTGACCGGCATGGTCAGCACTAGTAGGCAATGCATACATGGCAGTGAGAATAGCATCATAGTCAAGAGCAAATATATCTACCCTCTGCCTAAGCAACTCCACCCAGTCGGGGAGCTCAGCCTCGTCGCCAAACTCGGTACGCCAGGCGTCGCTCAGACGGGCAAAGCAGCGGGTCTGTGTGTGACTAGGCGTCCCACAAGGCTGACCAGTCCGAGCACCAGTGCAAATCACGTAAGAGTAGCGAACAGACCTGAGAGACCCTCTACTCTGAGCGTACCACTCACGAAGCTGCTGGGGCGTGAGAGACGCGCGTGGGGGTCGCTGGAGCTGCAATTGGCCGCCGCGAGTAGTAGTAGCAGCAATAGCGCCGCCACCCCTACAACCCCAACCAGCGTACCACTCACGCAGCTGCTTGGGCGTGAGGGACTCACGCGGACGTCGCTGGGGCTGCATTTGGCTCCGCTAACAGAAGCAGGAGCAGGAGTAGCAGCAGTAAGGCAGGCAGCCAAGCAAGCGGCAGGCAGCGCGCTAGTAAGGCAGGGGCTCACCAGTGGTGGGAAGAGCAGGCTCGACGACTCGGCGACTCGGCGGTGGGGGCGGCTCGGGCGGCTCGGCGGCACGGCGGCACTGCAGTAACTGCGGCTCGGGCGACTCGGGCGGCTCGGCGGCTCGGGCGACTCGGGCGGCTCAGCGGTACGGCGGCTCAGCAGCAACTGCAGCTCGGCGGCTCGGCGACCCGGCGGTTCGGGCGGCTGAGGTGGCGCTGCGGCTCGGGCGGCTCGGGTGGCTCGGGTGGCTCGGCACTAGCACGGCGGCGCCGGCGGCTCGGTGGTGACGGCGGGGCCACGTGGGGACGGCGGCGGGGCCGGGTGGAGCGGCGACAGGGCCAGCAAAGGCGGCACCGGGGCCGTAGGGTAGGCGATCGGGCTAGCAGAGGCGGCGCCGGGGCCGGGAAGGGCGGCGTCGAGGTCGGGGAGGTAGGCGACGGGGCCGGGAAGGGCGGCGTCGGGGCCGGGAAGGGCGGCGTCGGGGCCAGCAGAGGTGGCGCCGGGGCCGGGAAGGGCAGCGCCGGGGCCGCAGGGGTAGGCGACGGGGCCAGCAGCAGCGGGGCCGGGTCGGGAAGAGCGGCGTCAGGGTCGCCGGGGTAGGCGACGGGGCCAGCCGAGGTGGCGCCGGGGCCGGGAAGGGCAGAGCCGGGGCCGCAGGGGCAGGCGACGGGGCCAGCAGAGGCGGGGCCGGGTCATGAAGGGCGGCGCTGAGGCCGCAGGGGTAGGTGACGGGGCCACTAGGGCGGCGGATCGGGGCCGCGAGGGCGGCGCGACGCGGCCGCTAGGGCAGCGCGACGGGGTAGCGGGGCCGCGCGCCTCGGGGCGCGCGCCAGATGGAACCGAGTTGGCGCCAAGTGCGGAGCTTCTGTCGCGCCGCGATCGAAGCCGCGATTGGCTCGAAATGAGCGCGCAGACCTGCGCACCACTCGTCCCACATGCGATACTGGGGCACCTCCACGAAATACGACGGCGCCCAAGGTCCGGTTTGTCCTTCCCGTGTCGGTAGAGTTGCGTAGTCTAACGGCTTCGTGACGATGACGCGCCACCAATCCGTAGCGGGTCCTCGCAGCAACGACACAGCGTATCGAATTTTCGTCGTATCCTCCGAGACGTAGTTGGCGTCGAAAAATACGTTCATCGTGAACAACCACGCCTGAACGATAGGACCACCCCGTTGGGTGGGATCGAAGCATGGCGGACGCTGCGGCTTCAGCGGCATCGGTGACGGTAGTGCCGACCCGTCGGTTGGTGCGGAAATTGTGACGCGTGGCTGGCTTCGGGCCGCATTCGTCGCTCCGGGGTGTGTCGTGCTGTGGTCGTCGTCTCCGTCGGGGCGGACGACGCCATCACAGGCCGCGCTCGCGGGTTGCCCCACGCTTCCGTGTTGTGATGCCTGTGGTGCGGGCTGTTCCGGAGTGCCAGGTGCTTTGGATTGTGCCTGTTGCGCTCGTGTGAGGTCATTTTGTAGGGACGAGCGTTTTGCCGTCAGTGTCGCGATTTCCTCGGAGCTCTCTCGGATTTGTCGCCGCAGATTGTTCAAGTGCTCCTGCGTGAGAGTCGTGACGTCGATATGTTCAGCCATTTCGAAGGGCGTCAGCTCATCTTAGTCTAGGCGCAGTGGTAGCTGCACGCGTTTACGAGAGAACGCGAGGACAGCGGCTCGTAGGTGCTAAGGTACGTGAGTCCCTTCGAGTGAAAAATCAAAATTTGGGGTGCGGAGATGCGCGGTCCGAAAGAAAGGGGCTCTGATACCAAGTGTTACGGGTGCAATGAATCGAAGTAGCGAGAATTGCACTAAGGTGTCAAACGAGTACAAAGATGTGAGCGAAGGCATGAGCGAACATTTATACGCGAAACATGCAAACGGTAACGCGGTGCGTGCGAGCTAGCTAGTGCTATGCTGGCAGCGAGGCTCGGGCTAGTCTCGAAGCGTAGGCCGACACGGCCGGGCCAGTAGTGCGAGGTTTGGCAAAACAGTGCGCGCGAAGCTGGCGAAGTCCCGTTAGCAGTAACGGGCGAACATCAGCTGTTGCTGTACGCGATGTAGTCGGGCTCCGTAAGGAATGCCGAGAAAATTCCTTACAACATTCTTGAAGTTCCAAGTGGATTTCATGCAAGCAATGTGCCTTACTGCTTTAGAAATCCTTGTACGAAGTGTACTAGAGCACTCCAGTTTGCAGCTGGAGCTGGCGCTGATTTCCAAGGGCACGTGGCGCTGATGCGAGACTCGGACAGGCTTGTGTGACTTGTGATGGAGTTGGTGGCAGCTGGAATTTCGCTCTTCCCAAGGCTGGCTGTGCGGCTCGAGTCGGCGCTTTCCCCCATCTGGCGTCAGGCATCACCAAGCCAGCTTCACATTCGCGCCCACTGCGATCTGTCGCCCACACCAAAGCATCGCCCATCGACCGTCGCACCCGTCGATATCGTCGCCTGGTCTGGTCACCCCTCCTAGACAACTCCTTTCTTTCAGATTCAAAATTCTTGATCCCTTAGTAGTTGCTGCTGCTATATTGCCTTTTGTGCTCTGTTGAGACTATCTATCCGCTTCTCTTCACAGACTTGCATTAGGTGGTAGACAGGTTCTTTAGTCGTAGTTTCTCGACATCTTAGAACCATGGTGAAGATCTGCTGCATAGGCGCTGGCTATGTGGGTGGTCCCACCATGGCCATGATCGCGTACAAATGCCCAGAGATTAAGGTCACCGTGGTGGACATAAGCAAGCCTAGAATCGCTGCGTGGAACAGGTATGTCGGGTTGTCATTCTTCCAGCGTTCCGTCGCTGAAGCCAATACGCGCGAATCAACATCCTATCCTTTTGTTTTCACAGTGATAATCTGCCTATTTTCGAGCCTGGACTCGACGATGTCGTGAAGTCTTGCCGCGATAAGAACCTGTTCTTCACGACTGACGTGGAAAAGAGCGTCGCTGAGGCCGACATTATCTTCGTATCCGTGAATACACCAACCAAGGTACATAAGACAATGCAGAATCGTCAAGAAGCCTGAGGAATACATATAATGTCGGGGGTCATGACAGCCATTCGATCCTTCTTGACATTTGCAGACCAGGGGGTTAGGAGCTGGTCGGGCAGCCGACCTGACCTATTGGGAAAGCGCGGCGCGGATGATCGCTGACGTTTCTACCTCTGACAAGATTGTGGTTGAGAAATCCACTGTTCCCGTAAAGACCGCGGAAGCTATTGAGAAAATTCTTACACATAACACGAAAGGCATCAAGTTCCAGGTAACAAGTCATTTCCAATCCAAAGGCCCCGTTCTCACGTCCGTTCCAACCACTCACTAATTTGATCTGTATTGTCGCTAGATTTTATCGAATCCCGAATTTCTAGCGGAAGGCACTGCCATAGCAGACCTCGACAAGCCCGATCGCGTTCTTATCGGTAAGATCCAGCGATTTTTACCCTTCGTTACCTTCTAAATTTATTTTATTGAAAACAAGGCAACCAGTTGTTTGCTGTGTACTGTTTCATTCATTCAGGTGGTCGCACGTGTGAGGAAGGCAAGGCTGCAGCAGCTGCTCTTGCTGCAGTCTATGCTCACTGGGTGCCTCAAGAAAACATCATTGTGACCAACCTCTGGTGAGAGACTTGATGGAATAACGTTAGCAGAACCAGCCATTCAGTAGCAGATGTTCCGGGGTGCTTTTTCTTACATCCACGCTCACGCATGCCTCCTCAGGTCCGCTGAGCTGACCAAGCTGGCAGCGAATGCGTTTCTTGCTCAGCGCATTTCATCAATCAACGCTATCTCCGCCCTGTGCGAGTCCACTGGGGCTAACGTCTCAGAAGTGGCTTACGCCATTGGAAAAGACACCCGCATTGGCTCCAGATTCTTGCAAGCCTCTGTTGGTTTTGGTGGCTCCTGCTTCCAGAAGGTACTTTCCTCTTCCTCCAGCATCCCCCTCTTTCCAACACCCCCACACCTACCTCCCATCCCTCTTGTCCCCTCCGCTTCCCTCCTTCAACTGCATTCCTTCTCTCTCAAAAAAACAAGTCGTGAGCTTTGCACACGCTCATGCACATTGCATGCTGACACACAAGCACTCTCACGCCAAAGGCTGCTTTGCCTCCAGTCCAGCACCATACTCACCTGCCCTGGTCACAACCCTACAGGACATTCTGAACCTTGTCTACATTTGCGAGTGCAATGGATTGATGGAGGCTGCTCATTATTGGAAATCGGTGATTGACATCAACGAGTACCAGAAGTCAAGATTCATCAGCAGGATCGTGTCCTCCATGTTCAACACCGTTGTCAACAAGAAGATCGCTATTCTCGGGTTTGCCTTCAAGAAAGACACAGGAGACACCAGGGAGAGCCCTGCCATAGATGTTTGCCATGGGCTTCTCAGGGATCAGGCTGACGTCAGCATCTATGACCCACAAGTAAGGGCAATTTCTTATGCACGATCACATATACTCAGCTTGTGCTTATGAAACTAGGGAAGTGTAACAAGGCTCTTGCTCGTGTTTCCAGGTGACTGAGGAGCAGATCAGGCGTGACCTGTCCATGAACAAGTTTGACTGGGACCATCCGTACCACCTGCAGCCAGTCAGCCCAAGAGTCCACCAGAAGGTAAAGTCATTGCACAAACTATGAGCTTTCATCTTCACTGTGTGTTTAGCCCCCTCTCTCACTGACTGTAAAACGAGCCGTGTAGGGAGGCCTTAAGGAGCACATGAACTGTGGTATCACCATGCACTCTAATCGCGCCCTCACATTGTTCCTCTGACCGTGTTTGTGAAGATATTTTTTCGTTTCACACTGCCTCCCAATATCCACTGCTCCCTTCATCCCAGGTTTCGGTGTCATGGGATGCATATGGAGCGTGCAAGGGTGCTCATGGAATCTGCATTCTCACAGAGTGGGACGAGTTCAAGACGCTGGACTATCAGGTGGGAATGCAAATGGTTCAACTGGCACATGAACACGCTGCTGCATTACTGTCCATGCTGATTCGCACATCCAATCTGACATCCAAGTTCCCTTCCACCTTGTGTGTTCATGACACCTACGTTGGTGCTATCCCTTCCCACATGCTTTATTCTTCACTGTGGATTAGATCCCCAAGAAATGGTCTCACACCATTTAAAAATCCTTGCCCATTCCAACCCCTTGCATGGCCAACAGAAAATCTATGAGCACATGGAGAAGCCAGCCTTTGTTTTTGATGGCCGCAACATTGTGGATGTGGCAAAGCTGAGGGAGACTGGCTTCATCGTGTTTGCTATCGGACACGCGCTAGACCCCTGGGTGAAGGATCTTCCTTCCATGCACTAGGCCGTGCGCTGAGGACGTTGACCAGCATCCTATGGAGTCACCCAGGTGCCTGGGTGGTTAGGACATACCGTACAGGTATCAACTAGCTAGGACATGGAATTTACATAGCCTTGCATATTGACAGACATTTATACAAGTGATACCGTACTACCGTATCTCTTATGACGACATTGACCTTACAAAAACGGCTGTAGTGGGCAAGCAACCAGCTGAGGCGTACCTAAACAGCTGAGTTCAACTAGCACCATTTGGCATACAGCATCTTGGATCAAATGAAGACAAATGCAACACCCTCGGGGGACAGAACAAATTGCAACTCTCTGCTGGCAAATTGAAACTCTCCGCTGGCAAATTGAAACTCTCCACTGGCAATTTCTCCTAGAATCGGCATTTCGCCCACAACCTCCACTCGCATGTGTCCACATCACCATTCCATACTTATTTCATCCAACGGAGAATACACCCGTAAGAACTTTCTCACAAGCAGCGCCACGATAGCAACCACAATTGCTGCTGCCAGAGTGTTCAGCACTCTGTCCTCTCCTGCTGCCCCTCCAGCTCGTCCCCGACCCTCTGCTGCACGTGTTGCCTGCGCCTGATTCTGTGATTGCCCTGCCACTACTCCTGCTGTTCCTGCTCTTGCTTCCACGGCCGAATGGCCTGCTGCTGCTGCTGCACTTGGTTGCCTGGGCTCTGTCATAGTTTGTGGTGGTGGTGGTAGCAGTGGCTCAGTCAGGGAGTGTTCAGCAGCAGCATTGGATGCACCTGCTATTGCTGCAGCACCCGCAGTTGCACCTGCTGGCACCACTTGATCTGCCGCAGCGGCAGCTGATGCAGCTGACTCTGAACCACCAGCAGGGACAGATCCTGCTTGTGCCTGCAGGAGGGGAGCTAAAGAGCTGGCCCCTGAACAAGCAGGATCGGAAGATACAGCAAGGCCCGTCCCTGTCTCATTAAGGCCGACCGAGTCAGAGGAAGAGCTGGGAGCCGAACCTAAAGTAGCAGGTGCGTAGGATGTGGACGGTGTGTCGCCTGGCTGTGCTGCTGCTGGCAGAGGCACTAGGGAGCCTAGAGAAGGCTGCTCCGCAGAAACGTCGGTGGAAGAGGGAAGCACGAGGGGGGAAGCTGAAGACGTACCAGAGTCAGCAACAGCAGTGGCAGTCACTGGTTGGGCAGCAGGAGGAAGAGCAGAGTCAGAAACTGTGTCTTGGGGGGTGTCGGGAGCCTTAAAGCTAGGAGAAGAGGCGGAATGCAAAGAGGCAGGGATAGGTGGTGCCGTTTGCAGCATGGCTGCGTGAATCTGATCAATCACTTGTTGCCGCCCGGGACTCCCAAATTTGGGTGGCGCGAGTCGGGATTTGATTGCGAGCTTGCGGCGCTCGTCCTTGGGGTAATCCAGTGAGCCCAGTGCGCCATCTGGCTTGGTTGGCATGAATGCTATCAGTGCCACCAGTGCCGTGCGCACTGCCGGGGAGGATGATGGACGTTGGGAGACAGAATGATAAATTATTAGAGAGACAAAGGGAAGAGGGGAAACAACGAGTTTATCCATAGTTCCCTCCAATAGCTCCCTCCTACAGTTCCCTCGTACAGCGGGCATGCACAGACGTGAGACAACATGATCTCTGCAGGTTGGGTGGAAGTGGAAGTGAGATGGGCACAGTAAAGCTCACCACTCCAGGAGGGCTGCCAGTGCTCGGGGTGGTGGTTGGAGATGCTCAGACAGATCTTCGTCTGCACCTCAAAGCGCCCGCTGGGCTGCCACGGGCGACACGCAGAGAGGGCGGAGAGGGCAGAGCGAGCTGAGGGAGCTGTGGAACAGGGAGTGGCAACCCTCTTTCAGAGTGCCTATCGTCTTTGACTAGAGAATACCTATCGCATCTTCAGGCAACACCTGAGGTGCCCCAAAGCAACTTTCAGCGAGTTGTCAGGCGCGTGGCCCTGGGAGCGGTCCACTCACAGTGAGGAGCATGAAGGAGGGCGGCTTGAAGGGGTAGTCGGCGGGCAGCGTGATGCGGCCGTGGTAGATCCCCCCCTCGAACTCCGAGTCCTTGGGGCCGTGGATCGCAAACTGCCACTCGAATATGTCCTCCTGCCGGGGTGGGGCGCGATTAATGCGACGATCAATGCCAGGGACACTCGAATTCGTCCGCTCGACGTTCCGTGAATGCAAGTCGCAGAAGCACACTCGCGTACGACGTTTAAATTCGCAGCATAAGATACGATACGAGGTGATTCGGCAGACGGTGCTACGTGCTGGTCGGACGAACGGTAAACAGGACTTGCGATGGAAATCGTCGGAGGCTAAGGGTGACGACACGGCGATTTGGTTTGGTCACTCTGCGTTGTGAGGTAGGATTCACAACCCGCAGAATTCAGAGAGTTCTGGACTGCACGGTGACTCCCGTACCGTCATTCGCTAGATACCATGCGCTCTCGGCACTCTATTAGACCACTCGCCTGCACGCACGCGTGTACCGCGAGCTCACCTCGAGCGGCATGCTGGTGTACTCCTTGCTGCCCTCCCGCTGCATCTCCTTCACCTCCTGCAAAATCCGCTTCACCGCCGGATTCCGCATGTTGAACTGCTTGCCGTCCGCCATCGCCGCGAGCACGGCTCACGAAAGGTGAGTCAACAGAGGAGACGAGCCGCGCAACCAGCGAAGTGAACGGTCAGACGGGATCAGTGCGTGTCTGCTGGGTCGCGCGCTACTTGATGGCCTGAGTAAGACTCGAAATAGGTATAGGCATGTGGGATGCCAGAGCTTTCTTTGTAGACATGGATTTGCGGAAATGCTTGATAGAGATGTTGGTTGCTTGTTGGCAACTTCTAGAAAGACCACCAAGCCTGCTCTGGGCTGGAAGGTCGAACGCGTTAAAGCCCAAAACCTGAATTACAAAAAATGGAAGGCAAACTGTGCACAGTTTGCCTACCTAACCCACAAATGACCTCCCGAGCCAGGCTGGTTACCAGAAAACATTGCGCCAAGAAACACAGAGTTGTAGAGTGTTATAAGTTGTGAAAGGAAAGAGTGCGCAGAACTCAATAGTGCAGAAGTGATTACAACGTCTGAATGAACAACGAGGCCTAGGCATAATATAGCAAGTTTAGCTAGGCCGAGGTCGCGGGGTCGCGGGATGGTTGGGTGTAGGTTTGGGGTTGGAAAACCCGAAAGCGACGCGGTGGTGGCTCGGAATGCGAGGTCGGCGGGCCGAGCCTGGTTTTCCGAAAGTCGGAGTTGTACGCGTACAGTGTGACCCAGTAAGGAATCCGGAAAATTCCTTACACTACCCCCCCCCTTTAAGAAAAGTGGTGAATATCCGAAACACCTCGGCGGGCGAGGTAAGCGTCCAAAACCGGGTGTCCCAGAAGCGAGTCAGCAGCGACATACGTGTTGTCCTCGCTCGTGCGATCTTTCCAGCGAAGCAGCAATTTCACTGAGCGGCCAGCAGCAGTCACGTCCACGTGATGGTTGAGAATTTTCCAGGGTTCCAGCGTGGGCTCTGCCATGGGGCGAGTGGTCGGTGTGAGGGTCGGTCGAGCAACAGCTGGCGACTGCGGCTGTTCGTAGTGACGCAGCAGGCTGACGTGGAAGGCGTCATGTATCTTCCAATCGTCGGGCAGCAGCAGCTTCGCGGTAACAGGTGTCACCATCTGGATGATCCGAAAAGGTCCCACGTAGCGGGGCCGTAATTTCGCGGGCTGCGGCAGCCGAAGGTTCTTGGTGTCCAGAAGTACAACTTGCCCCGTGCAGAAGGGTAAATTCCGTCAGTGTTTGTCCGCCTGACGACTGTCCGTGGTATTAGCTTTGCGAATGAACTCGGCTGCTTTCGTTCGGGCGGTTTGCTGTTCCGTGACAAACTGCTGCGATCTTGGTACCGGGCTGTCCACAGTTGTACGCGAATTCCAGCATCGGCAGCGAATCTTCCCACTTGCGAATGTCGGGGCAGTTGGTGCGAATCAGCTGCTCCATGGTCTGATTTGTCCGTTCCGTCTGTCCGTCGGTCTGCGGGTGGTATGACGACGAAAACTGCAAGCGGGTACCGTACTGTGCCCACGTTTCCTGCCAGAATTTCGATGTAAATTTCGGATCACGATCGCTGATGATCGCCGAAGGTAACCCGTGTAGGCGTATGACGATGGAGATGAACAGTTTGGCTGTATCTTCGGCTGTGATCGTCGTTCGGCATGGGGCGAAATGCGCCATCTTCGTTAGGCGATCGACGATGACCAGCACCGAGTCGTTGCCACTTGCGCCAGCTGGGAGCCCCGTGACGAAATCCATCGTCACCTGTTACCACGGTCGTTCGGGTGGCGAGAGGGGTTGCAGTAGTCCGGCTGGCCTTTGTTGCGACGACTTCATTGCTTGGCAGGTCAGGCAAGTTGATACGTAGCGCTGTACATCGGTCTGCATGTCCGGCCAGTAATAATTCCGCTGCAGCAGCTTCAGTGTTTTATCGGTGCCGAAATGCCCAGAAAGGTTGGAGTCATGAACCTCCTGCGTCAGCAGCTCTCGTAAAGGCTTGTATGCTTGTACCCAAATCCGGTTCGTACCGGCTTTTAGGTAGTATTTGCCGTGCGGTGTAGCAGCCTGTTGTTGCGGGTTCCGAAAAAACCTGTCGATCTTGTAGTCGTGTGTGAATAGTCCCGTCAGCATCGGGTTAGTGTGGGCGATTAGTACCGCCGCGTTTTGCATGGTTGGTCGGGTAAGGGCGTCGGCGATGTTGTTGGCGCCCTTTTTGTACGTGATGGTGTACCGGAAATTGGACTCGAGGAAGTCCAACCACCGAATTTGTCGCGGGTTGAGTGTCGGTTGTGTGCGCATGTACTGTAGTGACTTCTGGTCGGTCCGAATTGTCACATCGGCTCCCGTGAGGTAGCAGCGCCAGACACGAAATGCATGAACGATGGCCAGCATCTCTTTGTCGTGGACTGGGTAGTTATGCTCGGGTGGCTGCATCTTGCGTGACTCGTAGGCGATGGGTTGCAGCCCTTGGCC